ATATATATGTAAATATATATATATATATATATATATATATATATATAATATATAGGTATATGTATAAGTTTTACGTAAAAATATGCGAACCAATGGTAAAACATTGCAAACATGCTATAATATTACATACATGCTGTATCAATACCACGCACTTGTTTGATTTATCTCAAATGTATATCAACGACTTTTCTCTATATACGGTTAGAATGTGAAATAAATTATTTCTCTTTTTATAAAATTCCCAACACAATTTTAACAGAGCCCGAATTATTAATGAGTATTCCTTTTGCGAGAAGAAGATAGTAAATGCAGGAGTTTCAGTATGTGCTTTTACCAATAAATGCGGAAGAGTCATGGAGAAAGCGCACTTTTTCCACGACGACCAACACGACGTCTCGATGATCAATCTCTTATAATGAGACAAAGAATAAATACTAATCCGCTCCTTGCAGCGACTGTAGTTACATTATTATGTTACATGTCATATAATCTTTAATATTATAATAACATCGAGTAATAATGCGAGAAATTATTCCTGCCTCTCTTACAAAGCACCCTCTATCGCGATTTCCCTGTTAAAGTCGACAAAGTATGGACCCTCGTTAACGAACTGCTTGAATTTCTGCATAGTATCCGCGTCAAACACATGCTGCTCCGCCTGAGACAAGCGTTTCACAACCTCGAACTTGGCGTCTATGCAGTCTTTAAACGTCTCGACGCTTCTGTCCAACAAGAACTCTACCAGGCCCGGATAAGTCGATATGTACTCCTGCCCCCATACTTGAGAGCCGACCACCGCCAGCACCTCCAAGCCGGCTTGTCTGATATCGGCGAACGGCTGTCTGCATATCGCCACGATCATACCCAACGGATCATCACATAGTGAGTCAAACCACAGCTTCGTCAAGGAGAGAATTCTGTTGTCCTGTTCGGCCCTCTTGACTTCGAGTATAAGAGTGAGATTGTTCAGGCCGCGAATTCTCAAGCCAGTGGGCATCCTCTGCACGATCTCGCCGATCGTCTTGAGAGCGCCGATCATTGCATCTCCCAGTGCCTGCAGCGCATACTTACCTTCGACGCTCGCGGACACAAACCCCAAAGTGTCCAACGCGGGACCCAGCAGAGTCTGATCCCCGCTGTCGATCACTTCGAACAACGCGGAGATGATCACTGGATACTTGGAGAACAGCTCGTTAGGCCAGTGTCGCGCGACGTTGCCAAAGAACTTCATCAGACCAGGGATCAACAAATTCGACAAGGAATTCTCATTGGCCTGCGCGATCTTTTGCACCAGCTTACTCAGGACTTCTTGTTGCTCCAGATAGCTGAGACCCTCCTCGAATATGGCTAACTGCGTTAGTATCTCCAAGGCGTTCAACTGAAGCAACACATCTTCATCATCCAGCACACTGATTAAACTATTTAGGAAACCTGACTGAGCGGATACTTCCAAAGCTATCCTGGATGTTTTGGCTATATCCACGATGACCTCGTAAACGCGAAAGCTGATGGTGTCTTTCTGCAGCAGCCTGGCAAACGTTCGCAAAAGTTCGCCCTTGTAGAGAATATGCAAACCATTTGGATCTCCACCAATTTTCTTTACTATGTTCATTGCGCATTCTGCGACAGTCAAATCGTTGTCGCCGATTCTGTTTATAATAGATATCAGTAAATTGGTGTCTTCCAACAATTGGAATATCCTTTGTGGCTGTGAGGTTGTACGTTGAAACTCACGCAGCATGAGCAGTCTCACACTGGCGTTTGGATTGGTCAACAATGTGGAGACTTCTACTAAATATCTCTGATATATTTCTCCAGGTTCTAACACACTGAACAGAATAGTTAGGATGTCGCATATCTGTTCTATGACTTCTCTGTAAAAGAAGGAGTTTTTTTTCAAATTCTGGAAGCAGTATAATCACTTGCATAAAGACTACTCTTTTTAGAACAAGTATATATACACAAATTTTTAACTCACAAGCAAAAGTACAAATATTATTGTATTGCGTAAACTTAAAAAATATGTTGCAGCCTTTTTGCAAACAAGCATACACTATGATTACATTTTAACAATCATGTCCGTAGAAATACAAAAAAGCTAGTCGTGCTTGTATTACGCGCTTGGAAATGATTTGACCGATTAACGAAAATGATTGATGAGAATCGCCGGAAATTCACCTGTCATCGTACCTGTCACTCGAGGTTAGCTGCGAATAGAGAGGTCCGTAGTCCAAGCTCCGGGCTACCTGCTCGGCGTCCCGATTACTCAAACTGCCGAACTTAATCTTGATGTCCGTCAGAACGTCCTTCTTTTCCTCGACATTGTTCAATTCGCACAAACGCGAGATCTTCGCTTGATACCATTCCGTCATGGTCGGCTCATTGACAATTCGCTTCCACAGCAACTCCGGCTCGTCAAGCTGTCGTGTGAACAGGCGAGTTGTTGCGTTCCCCTCCCGGTTAGGGGAGGCACGTTTGAGAAAGCACGGAATCACCACGCTTGGACTAAAACTACTCCGTATAAATCGACAATGAATCGTATAATTGTTAATTGCGTGCAGGTTGCGCGCTCCGTGTCTTGCCTGTTATAAATTAATACTGTAAATCTCCTTCCTTACCGTCAGATGTCGTAAAAAGTAGGAACCATTTTTTTTTTAATCGCGACTCGAACCTCTTTGTGTATCATTTATCCTCAGTGGTAGCCAAAATGGTCGGTAATGTTGACGAGACAACTCTGGTTCGATAATACTCGAGTTAAGGGACGTCTACATTGGAAGTAAGCAGTAAGAAGTAGGAAGTAAGAATAAGAAATTGACCAATCATAGTTGATTATTCTTCTCACATTCGACTGTTGTTGGTCAATTTCTTACTCTTACTTCCTACTTCTTGGCTGTTTACGATAATTCGAGTTGGAGTAAGTACGAGTTAGTTTCACCAGAGCCGAGAAATATGATAGATACAACATCTAATATTTTCATGATTTATGACAACTCAATGCTGTCCGATAAATCGAGTAGAGTAGAGTTAGGGTAGTATAGCGGATAGTATATGAATTAACAGTATCAGGTAACATAGTTTCGTAAAATATATAACAATAATATTACGAAACAATGATTTATTACATTTTAGAAAAATTAGAAGCACTAAATTAAATTATGAAAAGATATCATGTATTTGTGAAATATTCAATAATAACAGATTAATAATAGGTTAGAATAATTGTTTTCTACTTTTGAATATTTTACAAATACATGATATCTTTTCATAATTTA